CAAGCCCATATCAGAAAGCCCTGCCATGGTCCCTTTTTAGCAGATAAAATCCTTGCATCCCTCTCCTTCATCTTTTCTCCCCAAACAATAATGAGCATCTGCATCACTTTAAAAGCATGCCATGCAACCAACCAAGGAAGTGCTATACATCATCCTCGCCTCAACCGTACTCGTTTATGGTGAAGCATTTGATATTAATGTTTCCATTGCTTATCACAGACACTGGCATTATAAGTGCTTAAGTCAACTTGGCTTATTTATTAGTACTGGTTTCACTACCATTTCCTTAAATAAAATGTCTGTTCTCCATGTTCTGGGAGATTGCTTTTCTCCCTGCCACTCACATGGAGCTGTCCATCTCTATTCATCATGCAGTCACTATGGGATGCAAGCAAGGAATGAGTTGAATAATGCACTCTCTACGGCTGCTTGCAGTGCATCCGAACATTGGACCGGGGGAAGTCACCCTGTTTGGGCCCTCCTCCGGTAATAAACCAAAACAGGAGAGTGGCTACGAAAGTGGCCAATCAAACAGTCCACTGGGTTGGCCACCTGCCCATCCTGCTGCTCATCTCCTACCCACTAACATTTGTGACTTCTGTTCACTGGATGCAAGCAGGAAATTTGCAGAAATTAAGCAGCAGTCAAAGGAGATATCTGGACACACTTCTCAAATCTGTGCAAATCTCTGAATTTTATTTCTTTCTTTCCAACTTCTAAATACAGTAAAGATGTTCTTTACCACATCTAAATTCACACCGAAACAGATTCTGGAGAATTATAAACATATTAAAAAGACTAGAACATTGTATTAAAAGTTGTTTGTTTGCTAATGAAACACAACATCGACTAAAAACCATGGCCAGTCATTCAAGAAATGCTTCTTTAGGTAAAGGCAATTTCAGATCATACCAGAAATATTGCTGCCTGCCTGCCTAACGCCAAAGACAGGGAGTTCCACACGAGGGGGAATCACGCAAAAGGTTCTCCTCCTCCTCATAGGTCCATGTGGACCCACCAGGAGAATGCCCTCCATTGACCTCAGGCTGGTAAAGGAGCCAGTGCTCTCTCAGGCATCCTGCTCCCAAGTTTTCAGGGATTGATGCAGTAATGCCAGAAGGGAAGCCCCACATGACAGTAATCCAGTCTGCAGGTTGCTAACACCTGTCCTTTGACTTGTGGTGCTGGAGGAGACGCCTGCAAGTCCCTTGGACCACAAAGTGATCAAACCGGTCAGTCCTAGAGGAGATCAACCCTGACTGCTCTTTAGAAGGCCAGATGCTGAAGATGAAACTCAAATACTTGGGCCACCTAATGAGAAGGGGGGACTCCCTGGAGAAGAGTCTGATGCTGGGAACAATAGATGGCAAAAGAAGGAGGGGAGGGCAGAGGATGAGGTGGCTGGATGGAGTCACTGGGGCAGTTGGCTTGAGCTTAGGTGGACTCCAGGGGATGGTGGAGGACAGGAAGGCCTGGAGGGATGCTGTCCATGGGGTCGCAATGGGTTGGACACGACTTTGCAGCTAGCAACAACTCCTGTCCACTGTGACCAAGCTACTCTCTCCAGGGGAGGCTGTAGCTGGTTATCCAGTTGAAAATGATGAAATGTGCTTTGAGCTGCCATGGCTACTTGGCCAGTGACAATGATGGACAAAGAGTACTCCCAGACTATGGACCTGGACTGTCAAAGGGAGTTCATTTCCATCCAGAACAGGCACAGATCCTATCTCCCAGATTTGGAAACACTCATCCACAGGGCTCCCATCTTGTCAGGATTGAGTTTCAGCTTACTGGTCTCATCCAGCTTATCACCGCGCCTGGGCAATGGTCCGGGACTTGCACAGCCTCATCTGAACCACACGCTACGGGAAGATGGAGCTCTGTGTTATCAACTTATGGATGGCCTTTGCTCCAAATCCCCTAAGGACCACTCCTAGCAGCTTCATATAGACATCAAATGACACTGGAACAAGATTCTACTTGGTAGAACTTCATAGTGCAGTTGCCCAGAGACTGAAGAATAGTCACCCAATATTAATGGCTGAAATTAACTCCACAGGTAAGTCTAGACCACTGTAAGATTGTCTCCAATGCCAGCTCACAGGGTCAGCACAGGAGAATTCCATTGATTGATAGTACAAAAAGCCAATGAGAGATCAAGAAAATGAACATGGGTGCTAATTCTGCCTGACCAAGGCTGAGTCCATCTCATAACCAGGTTGAAACCCAGGCTGGAAGGATACTGAATAACAAGGATCCTTCAAAAAGTCGCTCTGTCAGAAACCTACCAAGTACTTTCCTTAAGGAAGGGATATTTCTGACGATCGAGTCAGTGCAGCGTAGGGCCACAAGGTTGGTAGCCGGTTTGCAGGGGATGCCGTATGAGGCAAGACTGAGGGAACTGGGTCTCTTCATCCTGGAGACGAGGAGACTCAGAGGGGATATGTTTGTTTGTTTGTTTGTTTGTTTGTTTAGAGTATTTGTATGGCATCCCATCGTATAGCCTTGGGATGGCTTACATAAAATAAAATAAAACATACTACAAATAAAATATGTTGGTGACATACAGGTATGTGAGGGGGTGTCACATGGAGATGGGTAGAGACCTGTTCTCCCCTGCAGAGGAAGGCAGGATGTGTTCCAATGGAGCCAAGCTCAGGGAACCCAGGTTCCATTTATATGCCAGGAAGCACTTCCTGACAGTCAGAACCCTGAGGGTGTGGAATGGGCTTCCAAGGGAGGTGGTTGAGGCCCCATCGGTGCGGGTGTTCAAGGATAGGCTGGAAATGCCCCTTCTGACTCGCTCTGTTTCTATGTTTCTATGACATGCACATGGTGGGCATGTCGTGAGTGGAGCCAGCTGGAGCCGGGGGTCAGACTAGATGGCCCAGGAGACCCCTTCTGACTCGCTCTGTTTCTATGTTTCTATATTTGTGACACGGTGGCAATGGCCCAATACCAGTGAGTTCACGGTGGGTTTCTTTAGGAGTGGTACAACAGGGACTTCATGCAAAGCGTGTATTCACCATCCTGTGGACCAGCCTACTCATGCCTCCACAGATGGCTTCATTAGCCACCAGGGGCAAAGATCAAAAGGATGCGTGTTTGGTGATACTGCTGCAGGATCAGCAGCAGTAAATGAGAGCAGAAATGTTCTCCAGTCCTGCAGTCTTCACGCTGGGATCTTCTCCACAAGTTATTTCATTGAGTTCTTAATACACCAAAATGGGCATGTTATGGTTAGCTCAGTGCATAAGCAAGCAAGAAAGCCACGCTGGATCAAACAAACGGCCTGCCCAGTTCAGCACTCCATTCACACAGCAGTAAAACCAACAGTGAACATGACCCTCAGGCAGGATGGGTATAGCAGTTCCCATCCTCCCCATGCTCCGCAGCTACCAGTGTGCACAGTCATGCTCCCCATGGTGCCAGAGGCAGCATGTAGCTATCAAGAGCAGGAGCCTTGGATAGCCCTCCCTTCCACCAATGTGCTGTATCCTATTTCAAAGCAAGGGGACAGTTCCATGTCAATTACACTTGGATTTATTTCCATGTGTAAAATTAACTGTACAGGGAAACCCAGATTTAAAGACAGGCAAGAAACTTGCTTTTGGCAGACTTGGATGGACCAACTGATTCGGCATCCTGATGCCATTCTCTGTGTGATTTTCCATAAACATTTGGCAGAAACATCTGTCAAAATCCAGGTTTGGCCTTGCTACTTTGAGAACGTCAGCGTTCCCTTTGCAATTAGAAATGCTGATTACGACTGAACAATTTTACCAGCCTGCAATCTGAGTCTTTAGGACCACTTGGAGGCATAGAAATATAATATAAATGAAAATAAATAAATAATCTGTTAGTATTAGCATTTGTATATTTCAATGCTACCTAGTAGCCGAAGTTCTCTAGGTATTTCACAACAACAGCTAAAATAGTACAATAAGTAATACAGTATAGTAAAATGTCATCAAAATGCAATACAATTTTTTTAAATTAAAAAATTACAATAGTTTACCCAAATTAAGTCACAAGCCTTGTAAAACAGCTGACAATACCCTAATATAAAACTGATTAAATGTCCAGTCAATGAATATCAATTATTACTGAATAAATACAATACAGAATGTCTTCAAGAAGAGTGGAACAATGAATTTGCGTACTCTATTTTTCCAATCAATTGATTGCTTCAATAGCATCTTTCTTCAGAAGAGTAACAAATCTTAGGCTATGTTTAGTTCAGCAAAACTGGATGCTTTGCATTAACAGTGAGAGTTGATTAAATTGACCAATTGGTGAAGGTGTACTGCTGTTGGTACATCTCTTACTTCTATATTTTGGCAAAGCCCAATGGCTGATTTAAAAAAAGGGGGGAGGTTATAATAAGCATAAACTTTCTGAGGGAACATTCTTCAATATTTACAGATATGCATACTCATCCTAGTTATCTACCCCAGAGTTCTTGGAACTTTATGCAGTGCCAATTCTTCGTGTGCCTTTGCACACTAAAAAATGAATATTATAGTGGTACCTTGGCTCATGAATGCCTCAGTTCATGACCAAATCGGGTTATGAACAGAAATTTCAGGAAAAAATTGCCTCAGGTTGCGAACTCTGCCTTGGGTGACGATCGCGATTGTGCCCGCCTTCCCTGCGTGGGCGCAATTGCAGTCTTGCTGGCAGGGGTGATGGCCGCGATCATGCTTGGGGGGTGGGTGCAGAGATGGCTGCGATCGTGCTCGGGGGGCGTCACACTCTTGCAGGGAAGACAGGCATGATTGCAGTCATGCTGGGGCGGGGGGGCGGAGATGGCTGTGATCTTTGTTGTTCTTTGTCATTTTATTTCACATTTTTGTGATTTAAAAACATGGTTACGGAACGGATTCACCTTATTTACATTGAACCTTATGGGGAAATTTGACTTGGCTCACGACCAATTTTGGTCATGGCCAGAGTCCTGGAACGGATTAAGTTTGTGAGCCGAGGTACCTCTGTACAACAAGGGAAAGCTAAATGGCCACCTGAAAGAGTCAAGATTGCTAAAGATTTCAAACACATTTGACTTCAAAAGAGATAACTGCTAAAAAGAAAGTTGAAAGAGGAAGTCAAGAGGCTTGTTGCTATGTGCCCTCAAGTAACCTCTGATTTATGGCGACCCTCTGCATGAATATTCTCCAAAATGTCCTGTCCAAAACAAGCTTTTTCAGCTCTTGTAAATTAGAGGTGGCGACTTCCTGAATGGAGTCAGTCCATCTCATATCTGCTCCTCTTTGTCTTCTGCTTTTGATTTATCCTAGCATGATTGTCTTCTTCAGGAAGTTCTGTCTTCTCATGATACGACCGAAGACAGCCTTAGTTTTGTTACTTTGCTTCTAGGAAAAAAATCTCATTTGATTTGATCTAGAACCCTCTTGTTTGCCTTTCTGTCAGTCCGGGGTATAGAGAAAGCTCTTCTGCAGCAGCCAGTTTTGAATGGATCAATTTTCTTCCACTCAACTTTCTAAATTGTCTCACTTTCATACCCATACATGTTTCTCGAGAATGTGATACTGCGGATGACCTTAGTCCCCAGTGAAACAGTCTTACTCTTGATATGTTTCCTAGTTTCTTCATTGCTGTCCTTCCAAATCTCAGTCTTTTTTTAATTTCTTGGCTGCATTCTCCATTTGAGCTGGTGACTGAGCCACAGTATGTAAAATCTTTCACAATTTCAATGTCTGTGTTGTTAACAGTGAGGTTCCGTAATTCTTCCACAGCCGTGATTTTTGTTTTCTTAATATTCAGCTGCAGTCTTGCTTTTGCACGTTCTTCTTTCACTTTCAAGAGGGTTAAATCTCTTCAAAGTGCTTCAAGATTACTCAAAGCCACAATAATAGAAGCTGAGATAGAATGCATATCACAAGTTAGGAATGGTAAAGAAGGCTTCCTTCAGGAACTGTAAATCTTACATAGATGGGGAAAACAAAAGTCAGCACAGGGAAAATGCAAGCAGACAGGAAGTGAAACATACTACTGGAACCCAGGGTCTTCGTAGAATCATAGAATAGGAGAGTTGGAAGGGGCCATGAAGGCCATCAGGTCCTCCCTCCTGCTGTTGCAAGACAACAATTCACCCCACCCCACTCAGAGGGCTGCCCAGTTGCATCTTGAATGTCTCCAGTGTGAGAGAGCCCACCACCTCTCCAGGCAGCTGTTTCCGCTGCTGTATTGCTCTGACAATGAGGAAGCCTTTCTGATGTCCAGCCTGAATCTGGGTTGTCACAGCCTGAATTGATTATTCCGTATCCTACACTCTGGCACCAGCAAGAGGAGATCTTGACCTTCCTCTTTGTGACAACCTTTCAGGTACTTGTTAAGTGCTTGCCTACCCCTCCCCAGGCTTCTCTTCTCAAGGCTGAACATGCCCAGTTCTTCCAGTCTCTCCTCATAGTGCAGTGTCTCCAAATTCTGCATCATTTTTGTTGCCCTCCACCGGACCCTTTCTAATTTACCTGCATCTTTCTTAAATCTTGGTGCCCAGAAATGGACACAGTATTCCAGGTGAGGTCTCAATAGTGAGACATATAGAGGAACTGCTACTTCTTGTGATTTGAAGTAATACTTCTGTTAATGCATCCCAAAATAGCATTTGCCTTTTTTGCAGCTGCATCACATTCTTGGCTCAGGTTTAGTCTATTGTCCACAATTACTCTGAGATCTTTTTCTTTTTCAGTTTTGTTGAGCTTAACTACTTTAAGACTCTCCTACTAACACACCACATTTTCGGGGATTGGCAGGGTTGAAGGCAAAAGATCAAGACCAAAATATACCCCTTCACACACACATCACTTAATTTATCTGGAAGTTCATACTACAAGTGACAGCCTTCCAGAATTATCAGGTCCACTCAATTCAGCGGTTTGGAAGAGGGTTATTATTTTGATATTATGTATATTTTAAACATAAAATATACACAGATTCATGAAAAATCTAACAAAGGCAAGCAAATAATGGCGCACTGAGGAAAAAGTCATTACATTTCTCAGGGAGAAATTAGTTCCATCTAAAAGAGGGTTGAATGCAAGCCAGTTTCACATCCAGTGGGTGAATTCTGTAGGGTGGAGAATGATATTCAATTAATTGAGGAAGTCAAAGGGGTTCACCTTTAAGGATTTAAGTCAGGAAATATGAAGCTGGGATTTTGTAGGATTATCCAAGCCCAGTGGGTTTCCTTCTTTCTCCATCTTTGGATATCATTTTCTAGCTTAAATAAGTTATCTTTATCAGTTTTTTTCTTTAGAGTATTTTTCTTTTGCATGTATCTTCAGGAGTTTAATGTTGTTGAGAAGAAATTCACTGTCTATTACATAATCCACAAGATTCATGGAAATATAAATAAACAGCACATTGGATGCAAGTATCTATTAGCAACAACATGAAGAAAGACAGTTTTCTTTGAAAACTTGCCCTTTTTGATATATTGGAGCAATGTGGGAGGGGGGGATGAAATCTGCATGAAGAAGCAGCAGGATTTTAACAGAAATGAATAAAGAATGACAAATCTTACGGCCTTCCATGAAACGTTCGAAGTGCCAAAGGCACCAAATGTTTGAGGCTCGCCTTTGCTGTGTCTTTGACGACTTGCTACTGGAAGTGGGAAGTGACTACAAACTCCATCAACACGGCCTGTTGTCAGCTTTGGGTTCACACCCAGGGATGATGGGTGGGTGGTACTGGTATTGAGGAAGGGCTTGGACAGAGGTAGCATTAGACCTGCAAGTTTCCAGTGCTCCCCCAATCACGCAAGGACATTTTGCTACACGGGAACGTGTTTGTGGGCCACTGCATGAAAAAAAAATCTTACTGTTTATTGGAGGCGGCAGCAGCTAATAAAGACAGGAAGAAAAAAAAAACTTGTTTGTCTTTTGTGTCTCTTCCGCATCTTCTCACTGTAATTTATTCCGCGGTTGCAGCGAGTGTGCATGTGCATAGCCCAGGGCTTTAGAAATCTGGATTTCCTCCAACAATCTGCTAAATGAAACGAGTTATAGAATTATCCTCTTTCTGATAATATATCTTTTAAATAATAAAGTTTAGTGCCCTGGATAGCAGTAGATTATTTTGTCAGAGTTTCACTTGCTCGGATGCTAACATCCCTCAAGTGGCTGCGCCGTGGAAAGGTCCCGACAATCAACACAGGTCGGATGCTGCATTTCATGCCAGCATCTGCAGGGATGCGGGGCTCTCCTGGCTTCGCAACTGCTGTCGTCTGACTTTTTATTGAGGATTATGTAAGCATTGTCCTTTAGCCGTCATGTGACTGCAAGGAGTTAATTGAAGCTCCGATCCCATAAAGCAAACATTGAACTGGAACGCAGGAGCGAAAAGGACCAAAGGAAAGAGGAATCAACAGAGAGACACAACAAAGCCAGTGTTGGGGGGTGATTTACGACAGAACTGCATCAGGCCTACGGACAGCCTGGGCAATGGAGACAACGGTGTGGTCAGGAGAGGATGCAGAGGCAGAAACACAGAAAGAATGGGAGGGCCCTGAAATGCATTGCACCTAACTAAGCAGAGTTTGGAATGGGCAAAGGAGTACACATTGGAGTAATCGTGGACCATGGGCTAAACAGGAGCCAACAATGCGCTGCAGCCACCAAAAGGGTAAATGCTATTTTGGGATGCATTAACAGAATATTACTTCCAAATCACAAGAAGTAGTAGTTCCTCTATACTCCTCACTAGTCAGACCTCACCTGGAATATTGTGTTCCGTTCTGGGCATGAAAATTTAGGAAAGATGCAGGTAAATTAGAAGGGTCCAATGGAGGGCAACAAAAATGATCCAGGGTTTGGAAACACTGCCCTGTGAGGAGAGACAGAGATAACTGGGCAAGTTCAGCCTTGAGAAGAGAAGCCTAAGGAGGTAAATGATATCCCTCTATAAGTCCCTCAAGGCTGTCACAAAGAGGAAGGTCAAGATCTCCTCTGGCTGATGCCAGAGTGTGGGACATGGAATCATCAGTTCAAGTTGTGGCAACCCAGGTTCAGGCTGGTCATCAGGAAAAGCTTCCTCACTGCCAGAGCAATGCGACAGTGGAACCAGCTGCCTGGAGAGGTGGGGGGCTCTCCCACACTGGAGACATTCAGAAAGAAACTGGACAGCCGCCTGAGTGGGAGGGTGCGACTTGGTGTCCTGCAACAGCAGGGGGTTGGACTCGACGGCCTTCATGGCCCCTTCCAACTCTACTATTCTATGATTCTGTGATTCTTCTTGCTAATACCAGAGTGTAGGATAATCAACCCAAGTTGCCACAACCCAGATTCAGGCTGGACATCAGGAAAAGCTTCCTCACTGCCAGAGCAACACAACAGCGGAACACCTGCCTAGGGAGCTCTCCCACACTGGAGACATTCAAAAAGAAACTGGACAGCCCTCTGAGTGGGATGGTGTGACATGGTGTCCTGCAACAGCAGGGGGGTAGACTCAATGGCCCTCATTGTCCCTTCCAACTCTATTGTTCCACGATTCTCAGTAAGATCATTCATTTCAGAACCTAAAATGACCCAAGGATTCTCTCATGGAGCAATCCATGGAGCCAACGGAGAGTCTAGATGCTTCTAGGAATGTCCATGTTTCCAGCTCTGAGGTTGCAGCATTGCTCTGCCCTTGGGCCAGCTGCTTCTCTAAGTGACTTTCAAAACGAGGCCAAGGGGGCAGGCAGAGCAGGATGCCAGTGCCACCAGGATACGGTTTGTCCTGGTGGTGACTCAGGATCTTTCCATTGCCCTCCAAATGGAACCAATGATCAAGCTCTTTTGCAGAGTAGGAGGAGCACGTACTGGAGATATGAGGGACTGAACCCAGACCCTGCGGTAGGGCGCCCATGATCCTCTGTCGGTGTTACCAATGCTGCCTGGCAGAAGCTCTGAGGGTTGCCAGCAGGACTCTTCCCAGCCTCCCCTGATGAAGCTGTGGACCCTCTGCATACAAAACATTTTTCTTACACTGAACTGCAGCTGCTTCCCACAGTGCTTTCTCCACCGGGTGAAGCATCCTCTGGAGTAACCCAGGTGCAAGTAGTTCAGGGCTTTGCAGAGTAATACCAAGCCCTTAAGCTTGGCCCATTAGCAAACTGGCAGCCCGTGCACTTCTTTCAACAGTGGCACTGACACTAGAGGCTAGAGACACAGATCTTGCCATGGCTCCCGCATTAGCCTTAGCTTCCAGATCAAGAGTGAGGGCAGCCCCACAAAGAGCTCATTGCAGTAGTCAAGATGTGTGCTTCCTGATGCAAGCATTTCAGTGACTGCCCTGCTTCTATCTGTGCACAGGACCTCTGTCCTACCAGCTTCCTGTTTGCTGGCCCCATCCCACCCATCAGTTCATCCAGGCACTGCTGCAGGACTTGCGTGACCTCTCCTGGTCCAGAAGTGACAGCAAAACCAGACATCAACCTGCAGATGATGCCACACTCCAAAATCTCCTAACGGCCACACTCAGCTGCTTCAAAAGGCTGTTGAATGGCACTAGAAGAAGATACCTTGAGACACTCTTGGGCAGCATTTGTGGGGAGAAGGGGACCAGCTGGTGCTCCTGAATTATCTGGCCCTTTCCGAAGGAGCAGAGCCACCATTAGATGGTGCCCTCTGCCATCATAAGATGGCACACTCTGCTCCAAAGAAGCCAGCATGCATTGAATGGACACCTTGGACAACGGTCTCAAAAGTCACTAGAGAGTGTACAAGAGTTGCTCCCCAATCCCCTCCTAATAAAGACCATCCCTAAACGCAACTCAAGCTAATTCGGTCCCCAAACTAGGCCTGAATCTGGACTGAAATGGTCTAGAGAGTTGGCATTCTCCAAGAGTGCCTGGAGTTTGCCTGCCTCTGCTCTCTCAAGTGTTTCCTCCAGGCAATAAGTATGGGCAAAACAACTGGGTGGTAGTTGACCCTTACTGCTGGGTCAGCTTGGCCTTCTTCAGAAGTGGCTGCCCAGCAAACTCATGCACCCCCTCTCTCACCCAAGGATGCGTTCCCTGGACACCACCACTTCACACCCTTCTCCCTGGCCAGCTTTAGTCACGATGGGCAGTGGGTAGGGAGCAGCCATACAGCTGCAAGCCTCACATCCATATCGTCGGGCTGCTGCATAGAAACATAGAACAGATCGAATCAGAAGGGGTCTGCGGGGCCATCTAGTCTGACCCCCCAGCTCCAGCCAGCTCCAGCCAGCTCCAACCATATGCATGTCCAGCCTATCCTTGAACACCCGCACCGATGGGGCCTCAACCACCTCCCGTGGAAGCCCATTCCACACCCTTGGGGTCCTGACTGTCAGGAAGTGCTTCCTGGCATCAAAATTGAACCTGGGTTCCCTGAGCTTTACTCCGTTGGAACATGTCCTGCCCTCCTCTGCAGGGCAGAACAGGTCTCTCCTCACCTCCGTGTGACACCCCCTCACACACCTGCATGTCGCCAACAGATCCCCTGGGAGTCTCCTCTTCTCCAGGCTGAAGAGACCCAGTTCCCTCAGTCTCGCCTCATACGGCTTTCCCTGCAATCCGGCCACCAACCTTGTGGCGCTGCGCTGCAATGCAACCTGATATCATGAGACCAAGACAGAAGGTGCCTTGGTCCCCCAACTGGCTTATCTCCGTCATCCCTGAGGGGAGAAATCGTAGCATCCACATCCTTGGCAAACCGATTGCAATGGGCCCTACTGAGTTTCTGTTCCAGACTTACTGGGTTGAATGTTCATAATCCCAAACCATGTGGAATGAATCCTCTGGGCAACTACCTGAGCATGCCATGGGGGAAGGAAATCCCCCCACCAGGGTGAAAACAGGAGAATTACATACTATAGCACACGCGTGGTTGTCAGGTGTCTTGTCATCTTAGGCAGAGTTGGGCCTGATGAGCTTTGGGAGTCCCCTCTGTGGGCATTTGCTTAAGACTCGCTCTGGAATGCATCCGCCTGCACTGCGAAGCACCAGCCTTTCAAGGCGCCGGTTGCATGTCCATGAGGATTCTGCTGTGCTGCGCTCCTCAGATATACACGCTGCAATGATTCTATGCAACAGGAAAGGGCTACTTCCCCCGTGGTTAAATATATCTTTTTCTGTTTGAGTGGTTGCAGTAAAATATCGTGATGCTTTTGTGTGCATGTGTGCGAAAGGGGGTGGAATTCATTGATCTCAGCAAATATTTATTCAGTTGGCAATATCTGAGCTCATATGGCTATATCCATGTTCATATTTACTACAATGGACTTAGAGGAGATGTGGGATGGGGGGGGGCATGAGAAATGGAAATACAGCATTATAGCTGGCCAAAAGGAACCATCTGCACCAGAGGTAAACAGATAGGCTGTGAATTATAGCCACAGAGGATAAACCTCCAAACGTTTGCAGGTATTGCTGTAGCGGAAGGCACTGCTGTTTCAAGCATTTGGGCTTATTACATTCTTGAGGATCCAAATCAGCTGCAGTCCGTGGTCCTCGTAAAACTGCATCAGCAGCCATTCGCTCCTCGGCACAGGGCTGTTTTGTAATCTTCCCGGAATCCTGGACATAAAGGGAAGAGGCTCACTGGTTTTTGGCTGCCTACATTACATGAGCGACACGAGAACTGGCAGAAGGGTGACAAATGACTGGGGAAGGGATAAACCACTGAGGGAAGAGGTCTCCTTTGGGAGCAAGGATATGCCCAATTTTGGAGATTTGTTGCATGGCTGGCCAACAGTGAATCTCCTAGAGCCCACCTTCCTCTTCCTGAAGACATCCCAGCCGGTCAGACATAACAGAATCACAATAGATTGCTAAATGGGTGGAGAGCCAGTGTGGCGTAGTGGTGAAGAGCACGGGACTGGGACTCAGGCAATCTGGGTTCGAGTCCCCGCTCGGCCATGGAGCCGACTGGGTGACTCTGGGCCAGTCACAGGCTCTCAGCCCAACCTACCTCACAGGGTTGTTGTTGTGGGGATAAGATTGTGAGCAGCAAGAGGAGAATAATGTAAGCCACTTTGAGTTCTTTGCAAGAAAAAGGTGGAACACAAATCTTATAAATACATAATATGCTGAATCAGATTGAGCCCAGCAAGATAACTGACTGAGAATTATCCCGACAGAGGCTGGGCAATGTCCTCCATTAGATGCAGCTCCTCAAAAGTCAGTGAATGGAAATCGTTGCTGATTTTCACATGAGGAGTGGGACACATGACCCCCTACCCCTTGATTCAACCCTAATTCACAGGTGTGGACCAAAGTGCCTGTTTTAATGCTCTTTTTAACATTGAAAATGTGGCCGGGGCTGGCCCTTGCCTGGAATAAGAGTTCCAGAGCCCCCAAGTTTTTATTTATTTATTTATTTATTATTTTATTAAAACGTTTTTATGCTGCCCCTTTCGCCGAAGCCTCATTTATTTAACAATAAGTTAAAATAATTATAAATCAAAAATATAAACATTAAATTAAAATTACAAAAATACAGTATAAAATAAGTATAAAAATACAGTATAAAGTACAGTTTTCAAACTGCCCCCATCGCTGGGCCAGAGTTCTGCATTGTCACTTCATGGAGCTGCTGCAGGGCTGGGCATTGTCTGAGCAGCTCCACAAAGGTCGACAGTTGCACATACGATGAGCCACGGTTGGCGCAGAAAGGCCCTTGGTGCTTTTTGGCCTGCCTGAAGATGCTCTGGAGCTCTGGCGGTTTGCTACCAGTATCCTCTTGGCCTGCCGGTGCACGGGCCTACCGTGTTTTTCCTGGGCCTCCT